GTTTATCTATTTTCTATTTTCATTTATTTTTATTTATTTTTATCTATTTTTATCTATTATTATCTATATTTATCTACCTATCAATCTATTTTTTTTCCTTTTTTTTCTTAATTTCTTTCTTTTTTTTGCTTTTTCTTTCTATCTATCGATCGATTTATCGATCCATCTATCTATCTATCTATCTGTCTATTTATCTATCTGTCTATTTGTCTGTTTATCTATTTATTTATGGATCTCTAAATTTGAAACATCCATGAAATTTACATCAAATGTGCATATATCCTCCATGGAAATTCCATCAAAATTGTATCAATTGGAACACACCACATAAAAAACATGTTCAAAAGAAATTGATACAAATCGATGTCAAATCGATCGTACATTGATCATAACATATATATTTAAGAATATAATAATTTATTTGTATTTTGATGTCGTTTTTAGTGGGTAATTTCCTTTAATTGATGTTACTTTTGGTTTTTACTCTGGAAAATTCAAATTCTTGTAAAATTATTATTCAATTTAAGTGTTCTTTACTTGGTTTCGTTTTTTTTGGCAAGGCCAGGATTTCAAGTGTTAAATATGGATTTTACCTTGATATTATTTTAATATAATTTCACAATTGGATTAATATTTATTTGATGGAGATTTTGAATTTAGGATATAGTAGCTCCATAATTCATAAAAAAAGGTTTCTTGAATTCTTTGATCGTCAAATTATATGAATTGGTAAGTGCCGTTTTCTGCAAGTTTCATGCTCTGATCGATATCGTATTGATGGTGTTTTTGTGGCCTTGACATTCTTTTTCTAGGCCGATATCAAATCGATCGTAAAACCATTACAAAATAACTACAAAACATCGCCGAAACCTGAGCCTGCCTCTGCAGCCACGTCAGGTGGAAAAACATAAAAATCAGGAAATCCCACCCATTTGAACTAATCTTTATCGAATTATATAATTCAATTAAATTTATCTATCTATAATAAAATATATTTCTATGAATTTATTACCCACTGAAAGCGACATCAAAATACATATATATTATTAGATTTATTGAATTTATTTTACGATCAAATAACGATCGATTTGCGATCGATTTGATATCCATTTACATCATTATTTTTTGAATATATTTGATCTAATTTTGATGGAGGTTTCATGGAGGACATATGGAACTTTGATATAGGTTTCAGATTTTGAAGGCCCCTATATCTATATTTATTGGTTCTTTCATGTAATCTGATTAATTAATACAGATTTGATGGAGGTTCCATGGAGGATTTATGGAGATTTGATATAAATTTCATTGAGATTTTGAAGGTACCTGTATCTACACTTGTTGATGTAGGTTTGATGGAGGTTCCCTGTATTTATATTTATTTGTATTTTTTTTTTCATATAATCTAAATAATGGAATTTTAATGGAGATTCCATGAAGAATATATGAAAATTTAATCTAAAATTTATAAATATTCCATATAATAATTATTCAAAATAATAAATAATTAAATAAATAAATATAATATAAATTATTAATAATAAAATAAATAATTAAATAATATAATAATAAATTTGATTTTTCAGATGTATAAAATTTCAAATACCAATAATAATAGTATAATAATAATTTGTGTTATTATTATTTTAAATATGTTGATAAATTTTTATTTTTTATAGGGTTTGATAATATTAAATTAATTCCAG